TATGACCACATTCCTGGAATCCATCACTTTGAATTTTTGAAGAATACTTTTACTATACTTTTTTTGAGAAATGAAAATTCCTTCTGACACTTGAGAAACTTCGATGCCCAAGAAATAATTTAGCAACCCAAGATCACTCATTTCATAGGCTTGCATCAAATCCTGCTTGAATTTTTGTATCATCTTTACATTATTTCCTGTAAAGAGCAGATCATCCACATAATGACAAACAATGATAATGTTGTCATTTTCTTTCTTCACATACAAAGTGGCTTCACTTTTACTTTTGAATTTTTTTTTAGAAAGTATCTATCAGTTTCATTTTACCAGGCTTTTGGATCTTGCTTCAGCCCATAAAGAGCTTTTTTTAGCCTGTATACTTTCTCTTCTCCCCCTTGAACAAAAAATCCTTGAGGTTTCTCAACATAAATCTCTTCATCAAGTTTTCCATTCAGAAATGCAGATTTAACATCAAGTTGAAATATCCTCTATTTCATTTGTGCAGCAACATCAATTACAGTTCTAATTGTCTCAAGACGAGAAATTAGAGAGAAAGTTTCATAAAAATCAATACCTGGTTTTTGCATGAAACCTGTTGCAACCAGCCTTGCTTTGTGCTTTTGAATATCTCCTTCCTGATTGAGTTGGATTTCGTAAATCCATTTTAGACTTACAACTTCTCTTTTTCTGGGTGTCACGCCCTGAGCTAGACCCGAGACGCAGACAAGGAACCTAGGACCACAAGTGATCCCAAGCTAAACCTGCTAGCATGATCATGAGCATACTAAAGATAATAAACTTATGCAGGAAACTAAATCATAATTTATAATGAAAAGATGGGGAATATCCATATGCTAAAATTGATATATTTGAAAATAATGAGTTTAATACTATGAAGTGACTAACTCAATACTAAGGTGAACCTAACTATGTCTGAAATAAGCCTCTAACTGACTAGAAGTACTGGGACAAGCCCTAGCTAAATCTAGCAAAATTGAAACTAAAAGACTAAATAGTGAAAAGAAACTCAGGACGATTGTCCTCGGAGAATGAGGACTCACCACTGAATCTGCTGATCTAAAGATCGGAGAATCGATCTATGCGTGATTTGGATGCTGAGAACCTAAACCTACATCACGAGAAGATGTAGCGCATGTATGAGTCAGTTTTTGAAAGGTACTAAGCATGAAGGATAAAATAAAGCTAAAATAATACATAACTTAACAAGCATAAGCAAGTATAATAATCTTAACACGATATAGATTATGAATGATGAGATAACTGAATGCATTGACCAATTTATAAAATGCTGAAACTGGATACGGAGTATACAGATAAATGGTTAATGCAAGAGAGTCTATTTGAAATGTGGGAGCTACTAATAGCCGTTAATAAAACTATAGAGCTAAATATGGAGTTTGATGTATATACCCCATTGAGAAGACTCAATATACCCTGCCAATGGTATAAAGGCAAGTTGGCGTGATCAGTAAACTGATTGCCCATAGAGGGGACTTACAACCTACTTGGTTAGTAGTTTTGCGACTAATTGGGTACGCTGAACCCAAATCCAACTCGGTATTATGCTACTCCCATAAATTATATAACTAACTGATTGTGACTGAGTTTTCTTTAATTACTAGATAGCTCAAAACTGAACATGCAAACTGAGAATGCAACATTTCAACTGATAATGATGCATTAAAAACTGAGGCATAAATAAATGAATAGCTGAAATATCTAATCTAGCTTGTGTAATTCAAGAACTAAAGGAATACATAGCTAGGGTTCTGAAATTCTTGCAATAAATTGTGTAATAACGTGATAATTTAATTTGGATCATATAACTAATAAGTTCATGAAGTTCTGTTGAAGTGCTAGAAACCCTATGTCTAATCATGATATGTGAATCAAGAATCTGGCTGAAAACTAGGGACCTAATGGGTGAAAGGAACCCAGTAGTGAAATCCCACATACTTGGTGATGAAATTCACGGAGAAACACTTAGATTTTGTGGATGGAACTACTGGAGCCTTGCCTTTTTCTCCTTTCTTGCTTCTAATTTTCTATGTTTTGATAAATGATTTGATTTAGATAAGTTTTAGTTATGTTTCTGGATTAAACTGAATAAAGTCTGATGATTTAGAGTCAAAATGGTGTATCTAAGGGTTTAAACGAAATGGGAAAAGACCAAAACACCCCTGGTTAAAGTGTTGTCGTACCAAACGGCGACCAGGACTGACCGTCCGTCGTTCCATCAACGGTCCATCATTTGGGCCTGTTCGACAGGCCTTTACTAAAATGGACATAACTTTTTACTTGGAGGTCAGATTTTAGCAAAGTCGATGGCTATGGAAAGCTAATTAGATAGGTCATGGGACACCTAATTCATTTTGTTCTACGAGTTATGACCATTTGAAGTTGACCCAACTGCACTTCCCCTTTAACTGCGTGCTAATTCCAACCTACGGTCAGACCTTTTGACCGTGTTGGTCATCTGTGGCTCTTGTCAGAGAGTGGGTGAATGAGGTCTCAATCGACGGTAATAGACTATGGAACATAGCTTGACCTACGGACTGCAGGTCCGTCCATCAACGGATGTGTAGGACGGACCGTGGGTCAGTCTATGGTCTGTCGATGCCACCGTTGGTTGCACCTACAAATTTTTCTGTAAAGCTGATTTTTGGTTCTTTTTGGATAAGAGGTGTTACACTGGGTATAGCCACAAGCTCCCAAATATTTTTTTTTCAATCATCCAAATTTCTTCTTCCATGGTTTTCTTCCAAATATCATGCTTTATTGCTTCTTCATAATTTTCTAACTCAATACCGACAAAGTTACATTTTTAATAAATGTCACTCAATATTTTTGTTCCTCTTGAAAGCGGTTCTTCATCATCTGAATCTGGTATTTCTCCCTCTTGAGAGACATCTTCATCCTTCTCATCCTCTTCTTGATTTGAAGATATGATAGCAGTATTCTCTATCTTTTTATCCTCCCAATTCCATGTTGTTTTTTCATAAAAAACGACATCTCTACTAACAATAATTTTGTTAGTTTTAACATCGAGAAGCCTATATACTTTTGTCACATCACCATAACCAAGAAAGATACATTTTTTACTTTTTTCATCCAATTTTATTCTTTTCTCAGCAGGTACATGAGCATAACAAACACACTCGGAAGAAGGATTAATTCCACGCCAAGCTTCAATTGGTGTCTTGTCCTTTAGTGCCTTTGTTGGACACCTGTTAAGGATGTGAATTGCTGTATGCACTACTTCTGCCCAAAAATATTTTGGCAGCCCTATCTCATTCATCATAGGTCTGGTCATTTCAACAATTGTTCTATTTCTTCTTTTAGATGCACTATTATGTTGAGGAGTTCACCTTGCTGTAAGTTGCTTCTGAATGCCTTCACTTTTGTAATATTCTTCAAATTCTTGACTTGTGTATTCACCTCCTCTATCACTACGAATGGTTTTGATGTTGCAACCTTTTTGCTTCTCAACAAGGTATTTAAATTTCTTGAATGTAGCAAATGCTTCTGACTTTTTGATAGAAAGCTTAGAAAGATCTTTCATCTCCTAAGTGATAGCAATAATGTACTCATACTTTTCTGTGACACTAATTAGAATCTTTTCCACAACTTGTTGGTCAGAAATTGTATCACCATGATTTCTTAATTCATTAACAATATTAATGACTCTTGTGCAATATTCATCAATATTTTCAAATTCTATCATCTTCAAATTTTGAAACTCTCTTCTAAGAGATTGAAGATTTATAGTGTGTACTTTTTTGTCACCATACACCTCAGTTTCCAGAGATTCCCAAGCTTCCTCTGCAGTTTTACAAGTAGCAATTTTTGCAAAATATGCTCTTGAGACTCCCATTTGGATTTTTCTCAAGGGTTTTGCATCTTGACGATACTTAGCTTCAAGATTTTTCATCTCTGCTGCTATAAACCATCATTGTCTGTCTCTTCAAAGCCATCTGCAACAATAGTTCACAAACCTTCAACTTTAAACTTTGTTTTCATTCTTATCTTCCCGTATTCAAAATCAATTCCATAAAAAATGGAGTAAGAACAATTGAAGAATTAGCACCTTGTTTTGGATGACATAATTTTTCTTCACCTAACCCAGATTAAAAACGAAAATCTTCTCTAATACCAATTTGTAGGAAATATGGAAGGAAATAGTATCTTTAGAGAATGCTCAAGTTTATTATTGGATACTTAAGTCCACTTGAGATGATTACAATCATCAACTACATCACTATTTATACTACTCAAAATAGAAAAGAAAAAGTCTTGCACAAATAACTAAATACATGTATCACAATTTACTCAATATATGTACTACGAAATTCTAAAGAGACTTCTTGAAAAACTAAGAGACAATTTTAGAAGACTAAACATTAATGCATTAATTCCAACAATAGAGACTAGAGACCTGCAGCTTTCTTCTTATTCCACCAATTTCAGCATAGAAAATACATACATAGAACAAATAGATGCATAAATTCTATACATATTTCACAACTCTATATTGTGATGCCATCAACTTCCGCACCACATTCCACATAGTGGATGTATTCACCATCTGTTTGTTACCAAGAAAGCATTCATTGATTGATCAGAGTGCGTAAGCCAAGTAGCTATAGGCACTCCCATAGTAATACCCATAATGAGAGAATTCCGTCCACAATGACTCATTACTCGTGAACTCATCCACAAATATTCAGAAACTAAAACATAAATGAACCAAGGAACACTGATATATGAAATACATTTAATCACTACAAAATTATGAGGATACCTTTGTTGATACTGGACCATATTTTTCTATGTGGGTAAATCATTTCCCAAAAGTGTAAAATTATCTGAGCAAGTTTATAACAACTTAAAAACTACAATGAGTCCAAACTAAAAAATATACATAAATCTTTACTATAGACCAAAAACAATGTAAGATCAAATATAATAATGTAAATTGATTTGCCATAAATACTCACTCAACGAATGGCATGCCTTGTGGACAAGTGAACACCACATATCGATGTGCTTGACGTTTCAAGTATTAACACATACTCTGCGCTACATCTTCTAGTGATGTAGGTTCACGTTTTAAGCTTCCAGATCACGTTTAGAACGGTTTCCGATCTTCAGTTCAACAGTTACAGTGGTGAGTCCTCATCCTTCGAGGACACGTGACATGATTATTTCCCTTCGTTTTTAATTTTTAGTTTCAATCTAGCTGGGGCATGTCCTAGCATTTCTAGTCAGTTAGGCTTATTTCAGACATAACTAGATTTAGCTTTATTTCATTTGAGCTTGACTTTAAGTTGTGTTAAAACTCTTAGTTTTCTTATATATTCAGTTTTAGAATAGGTATTCCCAATCAATTTCATTTTTCATAAAGCTTACGCTCAGTATTATTTCATTTAAATTATCATAGTATGTTGATGTATGCCAACAAAGTTAGCTTGGGATCACTTGTGATCTTTAGTCGGGTACGCATCTTGGGGGTAGCTGAGCATCATAACTATGCTACCAGCGAACAACTCCTACATAACTTTTTATTTCACTTTGGTTAGATCGTTATCCTGTTAAGGAAGTTTTACTTAAACTAATGTATCAAAGTTCGTCTTCCTCATATATATAAAAAAGTTGATTTGCCTTAATTTATAATGAACTGCCATCAAAAATTAGAAGGGAGAAACACCTCTATAGAAGCGCTTTACCTTGAAATAAATTTCTTAAACAAACTATAAATTCAAAGGTCCTCTTATTAATATGGTGATTTTCTGATTGAACTAAAATGAATTATAGAAGGTCCTAAAGGGGTAACAAAATAAAGTTGACTTAACGCAAATTTAAATTTGTCAGCGAATAAATAATAAATATCAAATAATAATACTATATAAACTAACATATTCATTCATGATTTTAAAACATTTCGTTGTATTGTTAACATATAACATTGTCTTCCGTAAACTTGATCAAAATGATAAAGTATTGTGTTGTACTACATAAAGACATATTTTGCCACACACTTGACATGTAATTAAATTAGTATTAGTATATATTATTTTTTCTCTTAAGTAAGCTGAATCATATATTAATTCAGTTTAGTTACGAGAAACATAACGATGTTTTATAATAATTTAATTACATCGAGTGTGTAGCAAATTATTTGCTCATGTTGACACTACTCTATTATTTTGATGAAGTTCACGGAAGAGAAGGTTATGTGCTAGCAATACAAGGGAATGGTAAAATTACACATGAACATATTAGTTTTTATAAAATTAGTATTAAATATTCATTATTTATTTTCCAACCAATTCAATTATATTTTGTTAAGTCGGGTTTTTTTGTTACCTCCTTTAGGACCAAACTGTGATTCATTCTTGTTCATTCAAAAAATCACGATCTTTATAGGAGAAAGAGGAACTTTGAATTTTTACTTTGTTTGAAAACTTCCTTACGAGAGAAAGCGTTCCTATCTAGGGTGTTTCTCCTTTCTATTTTTGGATGACAATTGTTCATTCTAAATTTAGGTCAATTACATTTTTTTAATATGAGGAAGATGTATTTATGGATGTATTTTTTTTATTATTTTATATAATTCAATCTTTAGATAATAAAAATACTATTATTTAATTAAATTCTTAATTTAGTAGAGGGACAAGATGGTAATTCAATTTTTAAGATTAGAGCTTTCCACCTGAAAATTTATTCATATAAAACTATCAACACTAGAAGGAGCTTTTCCATCTTTTCCGTCGTGAAAATATAATCATCATCAACAACATACCTATTGAAATACACTTAGTTAGAGCATGAAGAATGTGGCGAGTATGCAAATGTTACCACTATCTAATGGAGATAAAGAGGTTATTTATGAAAGACCTTCGGCTCAAGGACATCAATTCCAACTAAAACATTGTGGGGATGGAAGATGAAAGTGAAAGACAAGCTATGGTGTCCAAGAAGAACTATATGCAAGTGTTAGCCTTTGAGATATACAGGAATAACTTATTTCTTATTCAGCTACCCAACGATGATTCCAATATAAATACATTTCGGAAAC